CTAAAAACCTTAAAGACGGTGTGGACTGTTCACCCACAGCCCGCGGGTAGGCGAAGGTAGGCACAGGCTGGTGGTATACGTGGCCGAAAGGGCCTGAGACGGCCCGAGAGGGGGGGGGGGGATGTAGTAGCTGGTACACAGTATGGCACCTTGAACATGCTGCCCCTTCACTGTTGCCCCTTCACTGTTGCCACTCCACTGCTGCCCCTCCACTTCACTCCAATCAGGCATCTGAGTGTGTGTGTGTGTGTGTGTGTGTGTGTGTGTGTGTTACATGGTCGTGGGGTGCATTCCCGTACCTGCAAACCACCCAATACAAGCCAAGGGCTCAAGGGCTGCCAGGTCGCCTATAAGCACCATCCTACCTCGCACTTCAGACAAAGAGAAGTGATAAAGGAGACTAACGACCAAAGGGAACGATAGAGTTGCGGTTCCAACATCCTTGCCAGACGTTCAGGTTCCCACTTCCCAAGCAGGCATCTATCATAAACCCTACCCAACATCCCCTCCGTCTTCAATCTTCCTCTCCCTCACAGAAATTCGCTTCTGTTTATTTGCTTTGCTTAATACGCACATCTGCTACTGTTGTAGACCCCCTGGCTTGTCCCAACAGCTAACTTGGTGCTATGCTCTCAATCCAGGCATGGACAGCGACAGCTTTTGCATCACCCAAACATTCATCTTTTCGGGTCTTGGCACGGCTCCGGGCCTCCTCCCAGTCCACCGGGCAGCCCTCGGCGTGCAGCCACTGAAGGACCTCTACAGTACTGCGCCTGCCGCACACCGCTTGGCTGAAGACATCGGGGCCCCAGGGGCAGCCCAGCCGCCTCAGGCAACGCAGGATAACCAGATTGCAATAGCGTGCTGCCGTTACGTAAAGCTCACCATCGTCCTGCAACACAGCAACGAGCGAGGCGTATAAAGCTGGTTCCCGAAAAAACAGCCGTAATAGATGGCGACTGAAAAGGCCTCTTGAGATGCTGGAAATGTGCTCCCAGCATGTGTATGAATTGACTGCGTGCGCCAGAGTGTACGATCACCACTACATTCCGAATACATAAATGCAGATCATCAGACAGTCAAATGGAAACCTAGTGACAGGTCCTTTACCATCCTGTCCAGAGGTCAGCAGCAGAAATGATGCAGACCGGATGAAAGCCAAGAATGAGAGGTCCTTCACGTCGAAATCGGCCAAGACGCCAGCAGACGCCAGACAGTGCGTGGCATACATTCAGTGATGAGCAGTAGAGCTGAGCAGCACCGACACCAGCACGCATCAAGAACATGCACCCGAACTCATGCAAGCGAGCCGCTCACCCCCATGGGGACGCCCCGGGCCACAAGCCACTCCAATACTGCTGGACTGCCTGACATCACCACTGCATTAAGAAGCTCCTCTCCACTCCAGGGCAAGGCCACCTCATTGAGCAGCCATTCCATGACCTCAACACTACCAAACGATGTTGCATATCTCAACAGAGCCCGGTGCTGCTGCGCCAGCTCCTGGATGTGCTTCCGAACAACACCTGCACCCATCCATTTAAGAATGTGCAGGTGACCTCCCTCAATTGCGGCCAGCGCAGTCCACCCATCAAGAAGCCAGCCCAAGGTCATCAGCTCGACCAGCAGCACCATGTTGCCGGCACAGGCTGCTGTTACCACAGCCTCCTTCGTGCGTTCTGGAAGCCAGTCCCTCCCCACTCGCAAGTAGCGTATCAGGGGCAGATTATCAGCACGTACGGCGCTGATGAAGACCCTTGGTACGACATCCTCTTCTTCTACCTCCATAAGCAGCCGCTGCACCCGCTCCACAGCATCCGGATGGCTGGCAATGGCCTCCCAACCGAAGTAATGAAGGCCATGGAGGCGGCAGCCCTGAGCCTGCAGCCACTCCACCTTGGCCCGCCAGTCGGGGGTGGGGCTCACCAGGGCCTCCGCAAGGGTGATGCCGGTAAGCAGCCTGCTGGCATAGTTGCCACTATCACCGCCATACCTCAGGAATGTCCGGTGTAGATCTTCCAATGCCGCCAGGTCGAAGCCATATGCAGCTCCCGTGATAACAGCGGGCATCCACGACCATAGGACTCTCGACACTGACCCGTATTCTAGCTCAAATCGCTGAAGGAGCCAGTGTGTGAGGCCCACATGGCCACCGCGGGCGGCACCAGCAAGACCCGCCCAGTGTTCCAACGGAGTACCGTCCTCCAGGAGCCCCTCACACACAGTCTGATGACCGGCATAGGCGGCTGCTATAAATGCTTGGGAGCCGGCTCTCCGTAGCTCTCGAGAATAACGCCCCTGTTGCAATAGCCACCGGACCGTTTCCAGATGGCCACTTCGGGCAGCTGCTGCTGCCGCTTTCTCAGAAAAGAAGAAGCAGTCTTCTTCCTGCAGCCACTGGCACATCTCAAGATTGCCGCCCTCGGTTGCTGCGTAGAAGACCCCCCAGGAGAGGTCGCAGCCCGCTGCCTTGACGGCGACCTGCAGGTTGGCCAGGCTGCCGCTGCGGGCCGTCAGGACTACAAGCTCTCGGCGCTTACTTCGTGTGAAGTTCTGAACTGCCTCCGGGCGGCTCCAGTGCCTGTTGAACGCGTGATAGGGTACGGGCTGCGACAACCGGATAGCGACTTTTTCCCGAAACTGGCTCGCCATAGCCTTATTGATTTCCTTGACGGTACATACCACCTCGTTTGGATCCAGGAAGCTAACAACACGCTCGACAAGGTTCGCCCCTAAATTATCCCAACTGTGACCTTCGTCAGGATTCATGTTTTCAGTCTAAAAAAGAAAAAGGCAAGTAGACAAGGACGATAATTTCAACGTCTGAGATAGTGGTCTTTAAAGCAGTACGCGGTCGGTTACAATAGCAGACACTGTGCATCAACACACTGAGTGTCCAGCTAGATCGGGCCAGGGCGCATGCCTGACACAGGCGATAAAAGCCCAGGACGGGCGTATAAGAAAGGCGAAGCATAGCCTTACCAAGGAATATACCACCTGGCAAAACCGGATGCGAGCCTTCGCCCCAGAAAAGCCAAACGGACCTCCAAGACGCAAAACGCCCAGTCCCCCACCAGTACCCAGAAGCCCTAGTGAACGCACGAGAGCTCCCCCCGGAGAGAAGGGAACGCAGCTACCCACCATACGAGACGGACCCGCGAAGCACGCCGAGCCGTTCACGCAGACCGACGAGGGCGACTAAATTCAAACACATAAAGGGCGAAGTATAAGCCCTCAGACCAAAGACCGACAAAAATATCCTAACTGTGCCCTTTATTTGGGGGGTTTTCCATTTCGGATTTAACGTTACGGAAGAATGTCATACATGGTACCATCGGTACGCGGTACATAACCTCACCTCTCCTGTAAAGTCCCTTTCAACCAGGAGCAATCGCGCGTAACCCGAAGTAACATTGTCTTTTAGACGTGAATCTCCTTGCCTGCCCACAATCGCACCATTAGTTGCCTAAACGTCTCCGACCTTGTACGACCTGCCCCTCTGCCCGGATCCTTGCTTCAGTCGATCCAGGGTAAATTGTACCTCATGAGGTAAACTGTACCCTGGATCGACTGGAGCAAGGTGTTGATGGTGTGTTGATGGTGCGTTGATCAACATGGCTGTCACAGCTGCCACATCCATTGTTCACTGTCCATTGCCCGCTTCCGAAACTTTCTGTTAATTACGACAGATATTTTTAATTGAATTCTGAGATGACAGCGTATGATAACTTGAACACCCAGCTTGTGTTACAATTTGCCCGCACTGGCATTCCGACTTGCCACCAGCAGGCCGACAAATTTGCTTACATTTCTCTATGAAATACGCAAGCTGCTCGTTTGTACATTTACTTTAGCCAATGCTCGGGGCCTCCGGAGACTTGCGGTGTGCCCCGATGAAGCCCGCGGCTGTGGGGCGGATTGCTGAGGCCGCTGGCGCTTCGGGGATAAACATCACAGACAGCACCGAACTTCACCCAGCTTTCGTTACCGATTTGCCCACACGGGCATTCAGACTTGCGGTCTGCCGCACTGTCCATGCGGCATGCACCCGGGATGGATGCGATTCGCGTGGAGCCCGCAGGCGGTGCTGACGATTCCGCCGGTGCAAGCTTAGCTCCCACACCATCAGCACTGCTGCAACAAAGCACATCTCCCACAGCGGTGACACTACCCATCAATTGTCACACGTGCCGCGCTAGCTACCTGTACGGATGCAGGGGGGCCCCGCCCTTTTTCCGGCTTCGAGGAAGCCGACACCCGACTTGTCCCTCACCATCTTTCCATCATCACCCCCTCGTGACGCTTCCCTCACTCCCTCGGCTCTCTTCCTTCCTTTGATGTTTTAGCCTCCCCACCCTCTCTCCAACACTCATGCTGCGCACTCATTCCCCCCCCCCACTCGAAATCTTTGAACCAAGTACAAAACTCAGTGCAACAGCTACAGTCCCACGGTGCTTGTCTGCCTGCCTTTCTGTCTCCCTTGATGGACACGTCCAGGCCCCGCAGCAGCAGCAGCAGCAGCAGCACAGCACGTGGATTACCGTTCGCGGGGGACCAACAGCGTCGCTCACAGGCTGACGACCGGGCAGACAGAGAGGGAGACACGCGCAACCGGGCTTCAACCTTGTCCGTCTCAATATCTCCCTGCCGGTACAAAATCTTCAGACTCCAAAGACATACTGCTAAAAAACGAAAATGCAAAACAATGTGTGATGCAAGCATTGCGGTGATCAAATGTTGAAATGATAGGAGGTCTTACTTCGAGCATTTGCAAAGTCGTGCATAACCATTAACACCAAGACACGTCCAGACACGTGATAATTTAACTGACGGTTTTAGGGTCTTATTGTCACAAAATGCTTCCCATCCTTCCAGCATACATTCTCAGTGGAGGTTGACTTGAAAGAAGTCGAGCGAGACCATGGGGATCGAGACCAAGCAGCGCGTCTGGATGCCCGGACATCTCCATCGCGGCGGTGTCAGCTGCGGGGTGCTGTTCATCACGACAATGGATCCGCGCCCGTCCAGTCGAAACCAAGCTCGTCCAAACGCTGGATTCTGGATTCAGAGAGCACACGGCTTCGTCGTGCAATCCGCTGTACGGAGCACCTGTTGCAGGAGGAGATGGAGGGGAAGGCCGGGAAGGAAAGTAAGCGGGGCACGGTTTGCCGGGTATAGGCCTTTAGGATATGTGCAATGGAGTCTGTATGTGTGTCTATGTGTGCGTGAGGGGGTTGGGGTGGAGAAGACACAACCCGCAAGCTCCTCCAGTTCCACCCCAGGGCAGAATTTAGTCGTGTGCTTGTCTGCGACCTACAAACGTGCGGACAGACGCACTACAGCATCGATACGGCTACAGTGCTGCCACTGTAATTGTATTGCATGTCGCTCACAGAGAATACTGAGAGTCACGTCAATACAGAAGGACGCAGCGCACGTGGTGAGACTTGGGTACCTGCGGTCTTATTTAAGTTCAAGTTGAGATACTCGAAGATGTGCGCGTATGTGAAAAGCCCTAAAGGGCCCAGAGCTAGCGGATGCGAAGATGTGCAAACATGCGTACGAAGCTATGAAGCCAACGAACAACTAACCAACGAACAACAACGACGGCGAACCGTCCTACCAGTTGATGAGGTACATGTCGCAGCCAGTCACCAGCGGCATGGGGGAGGCGTGTCCCGTGCTGGCGCTGAAAGACGCCAGCTCGGAAAACCAGCGGCACCACTCCGCCTCGTCCGCGTCGAAATGGAAGCCGAGTGCCGACAGCTGCTCCAGCCTGCACACCAGAACCGGTTGATACGCACAGTTGGCCTGTTAGTTATTCGTTAACCAGTTCGTTGTAAAAAGTTACTCCGTCCAACTAATCCGCGCAGTTTTATCACCGCAGTAAACCAGCGCCGTTGTCGGTCCATTTATAGTTCTGGATGAAAGATCAGATTGAAGAAATACCGTATGACTCTCTAGCTGTCCTTTCACTTTTACCCCTCTCTCTCGCTCTTTCCACTTCCTCTCCCACCTCCTCTCTTCCCACTTCCTCTCCCCACCTTCCCTCTCTCTTTCTCTCCCCCCTCCCTCCATGAGCTGCTCCTCTTGCCCCCAGCGGCCCCTCCCTGGTGTACCTCTCGACTTCCAGACGCCCCCTCCGCCAATCCGCACGCTGCTTGGTGGCCCAGCGACTCAGCTCCGGGTCGTCGCCATCCCGAAATCCAACACACGTGTCCCCGTGTCGGGCTGCGTACTCGGACAGCTGGGCAAGCCTAGAGGGGGGCGGTGGGGTGAGGAGTGGGGTGAGGAGTGGGGTGAGGAGGAGCGAAAGCAGACGACACGAGAAAGAGGTGGATGGAGAGGAACCGGGCGGATATAGGTTAGATCTGGATTTGAATTTGGATTTGGTAGCTGATAGGCATGGGGGCGAGAGCTACACCACCACCACCACCATCGCGTCCCCCTGGACAGGAAAAGCAGGAAGCTTCTAGTTGAAATCCAGGTGGAGTAGTTTACGGTTGGAAGTTTGCGTAGTTAGGACCTCTTACGTCGACTACATAACGAACAACCGAAATAATTAACCATCCAAATGCCCAGCAGCCTACCGGGAGGACCACTCCTCATCTCCATCTGAGGCAATGCCGTACTGCCACGCTTGGACGAGCTGCTGTACAGGGCCCGCGGCAGCAGCTGCGGCGGCGAGGCCGCCTCCGCCACCCAACAGGCTTACGGTAACGGCAGCGGTAGCGGCAGCGGTTGCCGTGCTTTTGACTGCCGCGTTATCAGATCCAGAGCTAGAAGATCCAGATCCATGTGATTCCGATCCCAGCAGTCGGGCCCCGTTGGCATCGAGGTCCGACGTTGACGCTGGGCCGCCGCCGCCGCCGGCGGCGGCACCGTCGTCGTCGTCGGCTGTTGCCGTGCCGTCACCTCCTTCACCTACTTGCACAGTGCCCTGCGTAATCCGATTGTGATGGTGGTTGCCGTGGCAGTGAAGGTTTCGGTTACGGTTTCGGTTGCGGTTGCGGCATTCGATCTCGGCAGGGGGAACGTAGGAAAGATAGGGAATCGCACACACGGGCTCCGGGATCAGCTGCAGGACGGTGATTTGATCCTTCATACCGTCCCTCCAAACGACCTTAACTTTTTTGCGCAAGCCCTAATTACCCAAATTACCCAAACTTCACCTCCAACGACTCCAGGTCCAACTGCCAACGATCGCTCAGCAGCAACGCCGGCTGTGCCTCAATAACTTTGAGCACGTCCACGTCTGTGCCGTACGTGGCTAGCTGCCGTACGCACGTCGGAAACACACATGTGCGCACGTAGGCGAAACATGCAAGGGAGAGGGTTACGAGGCCTTTCAGTTATCAAAGTTTCTATCTTCAAAAAAAGCTAAGAGGTTTCCATGACTGTGCTTCATTACCCTGCACGCGTGTGTACATGCTCCACCATACCGCACAAACCGCCACGCGAAAGCACACGCTCGCACACACACGCGTCCCCCCCCACCCCAGCCCAAACCCCACGCTTACCTTCATCTCCAGCAACCTTCCCGTCAGCACTGCCAGGTCCGCTGACAACAACCCGGGCTCCCGAACCACCATCCACACGACGTCAATCGACCTGCCGCAGCCGCTACCAGTCCCCGTGTTGACCGCACCAGCTATATAGCTCCCGAACCCTAAGGGGCCCCCAACGATACCTCCACCTCCGCCATCTCTGAATCTGCTGCTACCGGGCTCCAAGCCGCCCCCTAGCAGTTGCTGCAGCGCCAGCAGACGCCGGGAGGCCGCAAGGACCTGCGTGCGTTCACCCAGCAGTCGGCAGCTGACATTTCGCTTCTTGCTGCATCATCACTAAACAGCAGCAGCAGCAGCATACATGCTTCCCATCCTCCCAGCAAACATATGCACGCATACACGTGGATTCGGATCTGGATCCTGAGTTCCGTACCTCGGGTGTGGATTCCTCCAATTGCCAGGATGCGGGCAGTCCGGGTAGGGGGGCGGAGGATGATAACGGAGCGGAGTTGATCGGCACCTCTGAGCCAAGGGAAATACAGATGAGGAGGATGCTGAGGGAGAGAGAAAAAGAACTGCGGCCTCAGACTGCTTTTTGACGCGGGGTAGGGAGTGGACATGCCATTTTGAACTTGGGATGGCAGCAAGATTGGCTCGCGTACGTGGGATAAATGAAAATGGATGTAAGGAGGGAATATTTCTTCAGGCCTTGCGCAAGCAGGGTTGAATTTGGAGAAGCAAATCCAAACAAGCATCGTATGCTGGGGCGTACCTGCGTCCAACGCCTCAGCTGCGTCAACAAGCCGCTTCCGGTTTATAGGGTCTAACACGCCACGAGCCTCCCAGAAGGAGTCCAGCAGCTGCCTGACGGTGCTCCTTACCGACGACCGGTCGACTGTGGCACATCGTTCTACGCGAGCTTTGGATTTGCGGTGCCCTAGCCGCAGATACTGATGCCGCGGTAAACGCATATTATAGAGCATGTCGGCTTTACTGTCAGGGCTATGTGCAGATCCTCTGGGGATGTTGTATGCGTTTCTCGCACGTCGGCCAGGCAAACGCCTTTTTCACAAAGTGCTTCCCCCAGGCGTGCTGAAGAGGTCCTTGTGCGTTCAGATTACATTGGTTAACACAAAACATGCACACAGCCTGCGCCATACACAACTGTGACAAATTTATCGTACATTCTGTCGCTAACAGAACGGATCAACGAAAATTCGAGGTGACGCTGATAGGGGGTGGCAGACTGGCAGTTTCACAACCTCAGTCATATGGCATTTTTCATTTGCCATCCTGTGATCTTAGTTGATAGAGAAAACAGAGTAAACAGCTCGGCGAGCGATAGTGAACTTCCGCCTTGACTACAATGGATTCCGGGCTTCCATTCTCTCTTAGATAGCTTTGGACATCTCGTCTACGACGATAATTTTTAAGGCATAGCTTTGGGGACGTCATGACCATCAGCTCGCGGGCTCTCCATGTCTGCGCACAGGCTGCAGGCCCTTCGCCCGGCAGCTCACCGCATAAACGTCACCAGTCCCAACATCCCCAATCTCATAGCGTCAGCTCTCGAAGGGTGCTGGTAGCCAGTAAGAACCCGGTCAAGGTGAACGCCGTACAGCGGGCACTACAGCGCTGCTTCCCCTCCCTGGAGCTAACAGTCTGGGGGCGGGAGACCCCTTCCAACGTGCCAGATCAGCCCCGTGGGGATGAGGAGACGCTGAAGGGGTGCGTTTGGTGGCATGTTGTGTGACCGGGATGTTGTTAGGTGGGATTTGCTTGCGAGGCGAGGCGAGGCATGAAAAGAAAAAATCATTACGCTCGTCGAGAGTTCGGCTGGTTTATGCGCGTGGCGATGGGTGTGTCCGCAGCATACATTGCTCCCCCATCAAGCTGCAAACGCTTGGCATCCCTTCTCCTCCCTCCGCTCCCTCCCCTTTCCGATTCCGATTTAGAGAAAATGGTTTTCCTTCCTCTCCTGTTTAGCCCCTTTTCCTTCCCAACCCGGACCGACCTGCAGGGCTCGCAACCGGGTGTCAGCGCTGAGCGCCTCCGTAACCACCACAACAACCACCGCCCCCGAAACCACAACCACCGCAACGAGAACGCCCGCCGCTGCCAGCTGTGACAATAGCTGTGGCGGGGATGGTGGAGTCATCGATCTTATGGTTTCGATTGAGGGCGGAGTGGGCCCCGCAACCGCCCCCGGGCAAGCTGGGGTGTTGGAGTGCTTCGCCTGGGTTTGTGTACGAGATCCACACACAGGTATGTACCCTTACCTCACAGCCCTGGGGTGGTGAGATGTGGGATGGAAGATGTGGGATGGAGAGGAGGGGAAAGCGTGAAACCAGGCTTTGGGGATCCGTGGCATCCTTGATGATACGAGGGACTATTGGGATGTCGAGTCATCCCCGCTACCGTGCCGTGGGATCCCCGATCCCGCCCCATCCAGGGAGGCTGCTTTATGCACCAGGCTGATTCGCCCTGTGCCGTCCCTTCTTATACCCTCTTCCGTGAGGCTCATGTACGGCATCTGTACGGCAGAGATCTGTAATCTGTAGGTCTATAAATTGCTTCCAGCCCTGTGGTCTTAAAGACAGCGCTGTACTACATTGCCCGATATACACGTGCTCGTTTTTACCCGGGCTAACCCCCTGGAGGGGATCCCACTGCCCATCCCACCCCTGTACGACCACCCCTGTACGACTTCATCATGAGAGCCACGTGGTTACATGCCACGTGGCGTCACTCCTCCGGTTCTAAAATTCCTTCCTAAGCCCTTATTGCATCACCCGTCCAACTTGGCCCTGGCCTGGCGACTACGCTGGACCATTTCGTCGTACTGTACGACGCAGGCGCGGAGAGCACCGCGCGTACGGCATCGTTTGCGCTTCCCAGGTCCTTGTCTGACCTGATTTTGAAGGAGGGTATGGAGCTGGGTGACGCGGATGATGCGGTGTTTGGATGCGTTCGCAGCAAGCAGGGCTCCGGAACCATTGGAAAACTCAGCAACGGTGTGCTAGATCGGACAGAATATTACGTGCAGGCGACGGTGTGTGCGTTGCTGCCGTATATGCAGCCACAGCTGTACGGCATGGAGTACGGTGGATTCTTGAGGAACACACCCGCAGCGCGACAGTAGGGGCACTGCTGTCCAGCTCCCCCTTGTCGTTTCAATTGGTTGTGGAGTACCGCACGTTCATGAAGTTTTTGGCTTTGGGGATCTAGTTTCAAATCTTCCGGAATCAGCACAATTAACGTATTTGGGTACGCCAACGGCTGATTAACAGTGATTGTGGCGAATGCTTTCCGTTTAGGGGTCACATTTGGGGCATAAAGAGCTTACAGCTTGTTGGGTTGGGGATGATTGAACAAAGAACTGGAAGCCCCCTCTTTGCTGGGTCGGTGGGTGGTTGCGGGAGGGTGAGGCCTATCCAAGCATCCAGAAACATCGATGCTTCGACACCGCTTGCCCTCTGGTAGCTCTCCTGATATTGCTTTTACCTAATAAAATGAACGTATGAAAAATGTGGACCTTTGGTTTGGACCCTGACGGCAATTGACGATAAACCCTAAGTGGGAAATCTAGGAGTAAGGTCTCTGGTGACGTTTTCCAACTTCTAACTCCTTACAAAATTACTATGTAAATTTACTTTGGCATTGTTAAGCCTCATCTGTGCCCAAGGCTGCCGGAGTGCTCGTCGGCTATAGTTGCTCATGGAAGTTGGAACATTTCCCACTTAAACAACTCGTTGCGATGGACATAGGTCATGGCTTAAAACTGTAAAGAAAAAATACTCGAGGAGATGCGACCCAACAGGTAGTAATGTTGAAAGGGGCTGTTAAAGTGGTTACTGGATGGGTCAGTGGGTCAGGGCCTATTTCAGAGATAGTGTTTCGCTGAACCCCATGATCTTGAGATATTAATATAGCTCCTGCACAACAATCATCTGGTACCTATGGCAATGTGCCTGGGGGGCTTCTGCGCTTCCCGTCCTTCGATCGTTGAAATTTAGTTTCTTACCCAAACATTCCACTGCGCAGTTTTTTTATAACAAAGGGTTATAGCGGATACTGGAACTCATAGCTTTGCCTAGCTTCTGTATTGGTTATCTAAGCAATTAAGACACGCACTTTCAGACTTTCGCGGGCTCTTTGTAAACGTTATCGGTTGTGGACCCGGATAAATCTCTCACAAACAAAATCAGAGTACCCTTTGATCAAAAACGTGTTGAAATTTGCGCTGGTCCTCCTGCCTCGAACTCATTGGGACCTTAGAACTACTCAAAGTCTTGTCGCTGGGTTTTAAAACATGGGTGCTGGATGTTCAACGGAAAGCTCTGCAGAGACGGAACAGGTGAGCATGCCTTACGGGAAGCGCTGTCTGCCATCGCCCTTCGTCATCGGACAGCCGAGGTTTCCCCCCACGCAGTCCGTAAGCATAGAACGAACGAAGTCGGGGAAACCGTCTGAAGAAGAGGCCGCGCCTGCGCCTAGGCCTAAGCTAAGTGGTCCCCCAGTGGAAGTTGACTTAAAAGAAGTCGAGCGAGACCATGGGGATCGAGACCAGGCAGCGCGTCTGGATGCCCTGAGGCGCTGCTTCGAGGCGCTTGATAAAGACAAGTCTGGGTAAGAAGACTGGCGAAACCCACATTGCCAATGCGCTTCCAATTCTTCACCACCACCACCATCACCATCGCCCAACTCCAACACCGATTTCCCTTTCCTCCCATACCACAACTAGCTAGGCCCTTCACCCTCTTCCAACATCACCAACAAAACTCGCGTGCCGTACCAAATTCGCGTCTTCAGAGTCACACATTCAGAGCGCGCGGTGCTCGCAATTTCCTTAGTGCCCAACACCACAATGCGCACCCAAATCGCACCCAAATCGCACCACGCACCACGGACAACAGCGATCTTCACATAACCTTCGCCGCCCTGTCCACCCCTGGCACTCCCACCCTCGGTCCGCCTGGGAGCTTGCCATTACCCTCCCAGTTTACTGTCAGCAACCAACACCGCGTTGTGCTTGATGGCCCGCACCGCACATCACGGCTCACGGCACACACATAATCCCCGCTCCAGCATCCCGCCTCGTGTCCCATCTCGCCACCCATCCCTCCCATCACTCAACCCCGCCCCCACTGCCCCCACCCCTCCTCCCCACAGGTCGATCGACGCCAAAGAGCTCAAGCAGTACTTGTTTAAAACGGTACGTGGCAGGAGCCGCTATGTCACAGTAACCCTTGAACATAGCGGGGGCTATGTGACCTAACTGTTCGACTAGAGCTCTCCTTACTCCTAGGGTTTCAACCCGGCGGCTATGTTCAGAGGTGGCGGCATAAGGAGCCACATGTAGACTATTCCCGGGGGCGCTAGCACCACCCTGCAGTTACGGCTGCAGTCCTGTCGACTGTTGCTGCAGCTGCTCCTGGTACTCCACCGCAGCTCCCCTGGGTGCAACTAGCGTGTGCAGTTAGCTCGTATGAAATTCCGCTCCACAGCGCTCTGTATGCATGTATGCCTACCTCCGGTCTTCGGTCGAAACACTCCAGTTGCCCGTGTCATAGGACGAAAGCCGCCGGGGGAAGGGGGGGAGGAAGGGAGGGAGGCCCTGCTAGGGGAGGGCCGCTGGGCCTTCAGGTCACCGCTCATGTCCAGGCGCCCGCCGTTCAGATCTGGGCTTCCGACGACTCTTGCGCTGGAGTAGGCCCCAGCTAGAGGGGGCTGGCGGAGGGGGGCCTGGGGGGCCCTAGGTAGCTCAAGAGGGCGTCATGCCGCAATGACGGACGAGTCACGCGCCACTGCTGTGTCGCTGTGTGCTAAGACGGAGAGGAGGCAATCATGTTAAGCAGAGCAGCTGTTAAATATTAATTAAATTTTAAATATGTATTAAATTTCACTTCACCTCTACCTCTACCTGTCCGCCCGCCTCTGCCTCAAAGGGTGTCAACGTGTCGCACATCTCTGACAAGGCAGAGGAGCTCATGCGGAAGATGGATGTCAATGATGACCAACTCATATCGCTGGCGGAGTTTTCAGATATGGTGAGGAGCGCCCCGCACCCCCCCCCCGGGCCCTATGCTGCCCGGCACTGTTGAACTGCCGCTTGCGATGTGCTCTGTGCTGGTGCTGCGCTGTGCTGTAGTGGCATGCTGCAATGTCATGTGATAAAGTGCTGAGTGCTGCCCGGGTGGGTTTAGGAAAAGGAGAGCAATAATCCGCAACTCAAAATCAGATCCATGACAGATCCGAGACACGGATGGCTCCCGCTTTCTGGGGTGCAGAAAGCGACAAGCGGGCCATGGCACGAACCAGACGCGAACGAGTGTGAAAGCCCTAACCACTTTAAAACCGCCGACTGCCGCGTCCCGCCAACGTCCTGCCAAGCTTGCCCTCACGCTCCGCGTGTTTTAATGATGCGTGTGCGATAGAAGGGGGTTATGGTTGTAGCTTGTGGCTCGTAGGAGGTCCTTCACCGCCATTATGGGATCCTGTGTAGAAACCAAGTGACGGATTGTCCTGGGTGAGTAGTGAGCCCGTTGCGCTGAAGGGTTTGGGGCGTTGAGGAGGGAGCCCCGGCCACTTCCCCCCGGAGCGGAGGGGGCCCCCACCGATTCCCATGCCCCGTATTGCCATTCTTGCTTCTTACCTCTCGCTTTTTCGAGGTGTTCCCAATGCTTCTCGACCTCATGAACCGGATTTTCAACAAGCGGCAGTTTAATCAGCAGCGGCTTGGCTCGGGAATGGGAAGGTGGAAGCGAACCCTAGGCTGAATGAGAAACGATCTGAAACCCCGAACCCGAACCCGGCCCCGAAACCACGAGCCCCAGCGCCATGTAAAAGCACCTGCCCCCCGCTGGGGGCCCTTTTTGGGGTTTTTCGCTCCTCTGTTGTGTGTGTGTGTGTGTGTGTGTATTTTCCCGCAGATGGAGGCCTTGCTGACGGATAAGTCGGATGAGGATCTGGACGTGTGGGTGGCTGAGGTGGTGTTCACTGCCAGCAGCCGCAACGTAGTGGGGTTCGGAAACACGCTTGGGGAGGTGCTACAGAACCTGGAGTTCAAGGAGGAGCAGGTAGGGGAGGGGGGGCCCGTCGGGTTATCTGGGGATTGTTGTTGCTGGTCTCGGCTTTGGGGATATGGGTATCATACTGGGGCGAGGGCATTTGGCTTGTCAGGGCAGTTGATGTGGGAGGAAGCCGGCAAGAAAGCAAGCTAAGGAAGGATGAGGAAGGGAGGGGGAAGTGTTGGACCCGCGTTGCGTTGAGTGAAAGATGACATCGCTTGGTGAGGGGTGAGGGGAGGATAATGGCATGTTGCATGTGAAGGGTTTAAGTGGGGTCCCGGGGGAGATGGTCATGCCGGAGTTCCAGCCCGTTGTTATGACCGCGGCTGCGAAGCCCCATGTGAGCCGGGTAGAACGTTAAGCCGGATGGCCCACGGAGGACCCAAATAACCACCTCTTGTGTTCAGCCATGTGATGGGCCTGCAGTCCATTCGGGTCCGCTGTAACGAAACGCATGACACGCATGTATGGGTTTCTTCGCGCGCTGCAGGCAAAGAAAATCAAGACTTTGTTTAAAGAACTGGATCGAGACAAATCAGGGTGAGTGAGTGCGGCTGCGGCTGCGGTGCGGTGCGGTGCGGAACTTGCAATAATCAATGCAATCCAACTGGAGTTTGTGACTACGGATTGCGATAACGGGCGCAAGGTGCAAAGAGGTATCTTGCAGCGGGGAGCGGATGAAAGCTCAAGTTTTGTAGGCGTTCAGCCTGGTCGTTTTTCCCCTCTGCTGCAACTGCTGTGTGTGTGTGTGTGTGTGTGTGTGTGTGTGTGTGTGTGTGTGTGTGTGTGTGTGTGTGTGTGTGTAACTCCCTCATACCTGCCCGATACGAGCCATGAGGACGCTCCGTTATAAACCCCGTAACAACCTAAGCGCGCTTGGTAGGGAGCCGTCACATTTCACAACGTGGTGTATTATATATGATATGGCCGTGTTGGAAAGTGACCGACACTCATATACCAGAGATTGGTGACAGCAGAAATAGGAGCGGGGGGTCTGGCTCTAACAGGTTGTAATCCTGAACTGCTGTTGTTTTCCTGAAGTGCTGCGTTGTGTAGTGTTGACAAGCTGTTAAGATTCTGGTTTGATGTTGCTGAGCTACGTTGTGAGATGGTTTAACCCCCGCTTCTGCAATCCCCTGATGTTGTGTAATAAAGCTTTATTATGCTTAAGCAATTTTGCGTCCCTCCTCCCTGGCGTGCCTCAATGTCAGGTTTGTCGAACTCCATGAACTCAGATTGTTGCTGGGGAAGTCGGTGAGTTGAGGATGAATGGGGAATGGAAACGTGGACAATGCGGTCAGGGGGGCCCCGTTGGGAATAGCAGTTGGTTAGTTATTGGCTGTTGAGTTCATAACTTGTTCGTTCGTTTGTTCACTTGTGGACAAACCCCTGTCCAGGGCATGGACATGGAGCAGCTGTCGGAGGAGGTCCTAGCAATCATGGCCAAGCTTGACAAGGTGAGAGTGGTAGGGGAAAGACGAAGCACGTGAACGAGTGAAGATGCTGCCAGGGCAAGAGTGTACCAGAAGTAGAACTGACCAAAAGGCGTTCATGAAAGCGGCGACCTCGAGAGAGTGAGGGGCATTATAAGAGGGAGTTTCGCGATCCTTGTGCTCGCATCAGGTAAAAAGGAGCAGGTTTAGGCCCGACCCAAATGACGGTACGATGCTATCGTAAACGAGCTTAGGTTTGACATGGCAGATTAGCCTGGTTTAGTAGACTGTTGCTATTTGTAGCAGGGAACACGTACCGTACGCAGTCGTACACTGCTGGTTCTGTAACAGCTCCACCTGCAGTAGTGTGTTCTGTGATGAGATTACCATATCGTGTTCGCTTATCGAGAAGGAGGGGAAAAGGAAGGAGTGTTTTTTCCAAGATGATGACGATGTGCTTGGGCATGGCAGGAATCTAAGAAGCGTAGGATCCATTACTCATGCTTGTTTGTCAAGGAATTCACGCACATTCAAGCACGCTGCAAGGAGGCATATCCACAACGACACAGCCCTTGTTACAAAAAATTAAAATGGGTAATTGACACCTGGCGACGGCGGATGTGCATGGAAAGGAACCTGTCCTACATGGATGATCCTGATACCTGACTTTTAAGAGGGAAGAAGTCCGGGAAGCCGTAAAACACTTTAAAGAGTCCTTTGATACGATATCAGCTTATCGTCGCTGCAGCTGATCCTAGCCCCTTCCGATGCCCAGCGACGATGGCGCGCTAAGCCAGCCCCATGCCTCAACTTAGCTTACCCCGCCCCTCCCGCTCCTAATGAAATCCACAGAATGGTGACAACAAGGTGTCGACGCAGGAGTTCTATGTCACCCTCTCCGCGATACGCAAGTCCCTCCGGTCAGATGAGGAGTTTATGGCCCTGCTCGACAACGTCCTCGCCGTAGCTAAGGCACCAGAAGCAGCCACCGAGAAACCCGCCCTTGCGGAGGTGCTCCTTGCTGAGGACTTTTAAATACCAGCAGCAGATGACTGACCGCCGCGCCGACGGGCCTCTGCCGTAAACGTGAAGTGACGACTTCCACCGGCACTTGCTCTTACTGGTTCAAGACGACTTTCGTAATTACGTTTGTTGCCTGCGAATATTTTTATCGCCATGCATCTCATGGTTGCCAATGCCAAAGAACTACTTCATTAACTCTTCACTTACGTCTTGATATCTGTCCATACATCGGTTAAGGCATTTTTGATCATTGCTACTGAGTGAGCTCCCCGGGTTGCTGAGGCAAACCTTGAAGCACTTGTCGCGAACGGTCTGCAAAGTACAAACCCTGCCAGGACTGCGCATACGCAAGGCATGCCGCAACGCATTGACATACCTGGTAAAACTCCTGTACCATCTGCATTTGCAATTGTGACTTGACCTGCGGAGGCCCACGGGGCGTATCATGAAGCTGAAAAACTGGTGTAAAGAAGATGGGGCTTATCCAGTCATATCAGTTACCTGTTCCATAATTGTGCTATCATCCACTTTTCCGCCTGGGGCCCCGTAACCGGCTCCACCGAAGCTCATCTTTGGCGCTGGCAAAAAAAGCACAGGGTCGTCTACCCTAGGTCAAGCTGCAATGAGTAATCCTATGCATAAGATCATGTTAGCCAGATTTGCAAAGTATCCAATAAAGCCGTGCATGTTTACGCATCGCTCCAGTTTGGTCTCATCGTATCATAACTGAATGGTAAGTGCGAACAGACGATCAGGCATCGGGAATGCCCTAGCAACAAAGGAAACCCGGCCCTTATGGCCTGACCAGGACTTACAGATGGAGGCCCCTGTGGGCCAGCTGCGCATCGTTCCTTCCGGCAACGGAACAACCAGCGACAGCGGTGACCAGACCATTAACCTACTCAGACTACTTGATGTCTATGTACCTAATAGAACTGCGCAGCCAAGCCATGCAGGAGCCGCATCTGCAGCGCCAACACAACCCGATGGCCGGGCAGACGCTCTCCGGGGCGATCTCAGGGCTCTCCTGCAGGCCACATACCATCAGCTGTCGAAATGCAGTGGACGAGACTGGCCGCAGCAGGTCAGGGTCAGCAATCCCCGATCTAATCTCTTCTCCTACCCTTGCCATCCACCATCAGCAACCTGCAGACCTGGTATCCGGGGCCTGTCTATCTCGGCCACCATGCCGCAGACATTGGCGTTGTCCCGGGCGATTTATTTCCCTTATAAGAGTTCACCATACCTTCCCGTCCTTTAGCCATCCAACTTACGAGCGTAGCCCAGAGTGGTGCCGTACATTTTGTACGGCATCGTCATAAGCCCCATCGCGGCCCTCAGTGCGTTTCGTCCCTTGAGCTAATTCACAGACGTGATGTGCAGAACGCACCGGGTAGCACGCATGGTTTCGGTTCGAGTTTGTCGCAACTGCAGCAGAACGCAGTACATTGTAGTAAATCGCAGCGGTTAGTTGGTTAGTACTTGTCAACCACCAACTACCACTTACCTCTCCTAGCCTCCTCAAAAACGATGATTGAAGTCTGTAACTCAACATAATTAAACTCCAAGAAACCTAAACCTAAGGGATATTGCCCTTGCTCCTGCACCCGATGGTGTGTATGATAAAAGGGGTTTCGTCCCGGCAGGCCTTGCTCCGAAACCAATCTCATGCATCCGCGCCTCAACCCCTCTAACTTAATAAACACTCCTCTCCGCAAAACAACTCCGAATCTCCTTTCTGTCTCCTCTCTCCCCCAATGTCCCATCTCCCTCCTCCGTCTTTTTCTTCTTACGGTGTGCACGTGCACTCCAGTCAACGCCCACATCGTCCGTGTCGTACGTCGTGGCTTCGGAGAGCACGCAGGACGGCACCAACGGTCGGTACGAACAGCTTCCCCACGTGACAATAAGGCCCCCGGGGCTGGTCAACCGCCCGGGGCCCCGAACAGACGAGTTGGCTGACGTCATGACGCGACGGGTGGGTTCATGCTGCGTACGGCGCGTAATGTTACCGGCTCGTACATTTCCCGTACTGCCGTAATTCCCTTCCCTTCCCTCCCCCGGCCCTAGGGGACCGCTATGGCCGTACTGCCCTGGCGTTGCGACCACATTGTACGGGATTACCTGCTTCGAGCTGGGTCCCGGAGGGCGATGCTGGCGGCCGCGGGAGGCACGCTGTACGACGCCAAAGGTACGTACGGCATTCACGACATGTACGGTTTTGACTTTGGGGGCTGTGTCGTGTCGTGGCCTTCGTCGCGCCGTGTCTTTCATGCGCTTGCATTCCTAACCGTGCGCCTAAGTTTCTGACTCCTATTCCCCCCCTCTTCCTCCCCCCTCTTCCTCCCCCCTCTTCCTCCCCCCTCTTCCTCCCCCCTCTTCCTCCCCCCTCTTCCTCCCCCCAATCCACACCCCCACCAGCGCTGGTGCCCGACGTGCGCGGCCACCTGCGCGAGCGCGTGTTCGTGGTGCTTCACTTCCACTGGGATGGTCAGGAGCTTTGGCCGTGCGACGTGGAGCCACAACAACCACCCCCCCCGACACAGTTACAGCAGCAGCAGCAGCAGCAGCAGGGCCCCGCGGCGATGGGGTTTGCGGCTGCACCGGCTGCGGGTTATTCGAAGGTGCGGGTGACTCACTGCCGCTCTCCCCACAACCCCCACCCCCACCACCCCCACTAACCCCACTAACCCCACTAACCCCACTAACCCCACTACCCCCACCATCCCCACCACCCCCACCTGCAGGCGGGGGGGACCTCCAACGGGGTCGGAATGCGGCGGCGCTTCTCCGTCGAGGAGAGCAACGTGCAGGTGGGGGATGTGGGTCTGTTGGGGGTCTGTGGGTGTGAGTGTGGGTGTGGGTGTGGATGTGTGGGTGTGGATGTGAGTGTGAGTGTGAGTGTGAGTGTGAGTGTGAGTGTGAGTGTGAGTGTGAGTGTGAGTGTGAGTGTGAGTGTGAGTGTGTGGGGGGATGCAGCTGGGGGCCGGTTCGATGCCCTGGGAGCAGTGGATGAACAGCGAGCCAGCAGAGATTTACGGCCCCACATGCCGCTGACGTCACGCCGTACTGTAACGCCACCGCCACCCGTTCCAGTTGGGGATCTTGGTACGGAAAGGTGTCGGCGGCACGTACGCCTTTCAGGCAGCGCATAAGGCCCTAGAGGCCCAGGGGTTGCTGCCGCTGCCGTCGCCGCAGCCGCTGGCGGCTCAGTCAAGCCAGATGGCCACTGCGGCGATGGCGGTTGCGGCCGGCGCGTGCGTTAGTGCTCGGTACGGAGGCGGCAGGGGCAGTGGTGCAACAGCAGCGACAGCATGTGGCGGTACGGCGGCGGCGGTGCTGCCGCCACGGCTCCCGTACTCGGTGCCCCTGGTACCGCCCGTCTTCCCCATCCGTGAGCAGATTCCGCAAGCCGCCGCCGTCGCCAGTTCCGTACATTCGTGGCGCCGTTCAATAGCGACGTATGCAGCGTCAGCGGCGGCCGTGGCGTCGTTGACGGCAGCGAGGCAGCCAGTCGGCGGCGCTGCTGCCGGCGCCGCAACGGCTCCCGTACATTTGATAAACCACCACCCGGGATGTTCTCCGGCCGGCGGCGCCGTTGGCACGTCAGCTACTGCTGCAGATACTGCTACTGCGGCGGGCGGTGTCGCCATGCACCCTAGGGTGTCGCCAGAACAGGCAGCAGCGGCTCCGTGTACAACCGAGGTGGCGGCGATGGTAACCATCCCGGCGCCGCCAGGGGCCGTAGTGACGCCGTCGGCAGCGGCAGCGGCAGCGGCAGCGGCAGTAGCTCCGGGGGGGTACGGCAAAGCCCAAGCTACAGCGATGGAAGTGGACAAGGCTCCTTCGAGTACGGCGGAGGCAGCAGCGGAGGAGGGGCCGGCGGAGGCGGCGGCGCTGCAGGAGGCGGCGGCGGAGGAGGAGGAGGAGGAGGGGGTAAAATTCGAACCACAGGAGGAGGGGGTGGAGGAGTCCGTGCGGCTGGTGGCGGCGGCTCTCTCACCGTCGGAGTTGGGGTTGGAGGAGGAGGAGGTTACCGTGCTGGGGGAGCAGGACGTGGAGGGGGAGGAGATGGAGGAGGGGGAGGGTGATGGGGTGGAGGAGGGTGATGGGGAGGAAGGGGAGGGGGAGGAGGAGGTTGATGGGGAGGAGGTTGATGGGGAGAAGAGTGATGGGGAGATGGAGGGGGAGGTGGGTGATGGGGAGGAGGGTGATGGGGAGGGGGAGGAGGGGGAGGGGGAGGAGAGGGAGGAGGGTGAAGAGGCAGGGGAGCAAGAAGAGGCGGGGGAGGAGGAGCAACAGGAGGAGGAGGAGGCGGCCGCAGATATCGGGGCCGGTAGGTCAGGAGGGGTGGTCGTTGAGGAGGTCGTTGAGGAGGAGGAGGAGGCAGAGTTGGAGGGGGAGGCAGGGGCAGCCGCAGCGGCGGAAGAAGCGGACATGGGACCGGGGGGCCTGGGGGCGGTTGGAGGGGGGCCAGCCGCAGCGGCGGCGGCCGCGGAG